AAAACATTTAAATTGAGCTGCCTAGTACAGAAAGCAAAAATGTTCCATTTCCAATGCAAAGGTCATTTCTCCTTATGACTCTTTTGAGTCATAACTGGCTCTTTTGAAAGAGTCCTGGTGAAAACATTTCATCATGTATCTTTGCCTCTTGCACACATCAGCACGCATTCCTGCTTTTCTCTTTGCTATCCTGATTCCTCCCAGCGCCAAGAGGAGAGGTCTTTGGCCTTGGTGTTGTAAGTTCCAAGTGGGACAAAGGACTACAGTTACAGATGGTGCTCCTGAAAATCTCCTGTCTAATCTCTTTCCTAAGATCAACAGATCTTTTGCTGTTTTCACTTAACAGATATTATTAGTGAGGACTTCCAATGTGCAAGATGCTGACTGGAGTGTTGTTACAGCCTACAGGATACTTCTGAAGTTTTCAGGAGTTCAGCTAAGTGAAAGTCCTTTATAGGCTTTCCAACTCAGAGAGCTCTTCCTCGCTCTAGCGATCAACTGGCTTAAAATACTGGGTTTCTATGACTCAAGGTTCTGTGGATTGACTGGGCATGGCCGGTGGGTCTCGTCTCACGAGGATGCAGTTGGGTGCTAGCTGGGGCTAGTCATCTAAAGGCTTGAATGGGTTGGTCTGTGGTACCCCCTTAGGCGGCTGCCACTTGATAACGGCTGGGCTCTGCTGAGTCCAGTCACGTGGCCTGCCTACGTATCTCGGGCTGCTTCCTATGGCACGCTGGCTAGGTGCTGAGAGGGAAAGGCAGTCGTAGTTCAAGCTCTGATCCTCAGCTTACAACACTCCCAAGCCCCATTTTGTCATAGGGCTCCCAGAGGAAGCAGGCCAGTGCTTCCTGCCTTCATGCCACTCTCTGCCTTGCTCAGCCAGCTCCAACCACAACATCTTTCCATGTGTATTTCATTTTCTCCTCCAGAGGACCTTCCTGACCCAGGAATCGAACCCACATCTCCTGCATTGGCAGGTAGGTTCTTTACCACTGAGCCACATGGGAAACCCCCATGTGTACTTCAAATGCTTTTAAGCAGAGGCTGAAAGGCTCTACTGAACTTAGAGTAGAGGCAGGAATTCCTCCACCCGAAATGCTGGCCCTTCATCCCCAGGGCCTGTCTTCTCCACTCACACCACTTCTTGCATAACTCATTTTTCATTTTAGCCCACATAATGAGCACTTGAAAAGCAGCAGATCTTTACGTTTCACCATATGATTCTATCTTTAACGTTCTGTTGTTAAATAATCATAGACCCACAGCACGTTGCAGACATTGTAGAGTCCCGTGTACCCCTCATCCAGCCTCCTAAATGACAGCAGGTAACGACTACAACAGGGCCTCCCTGGTGGCCCAGAAATAAAGAATCTGCTCGCAATGCAGAAGAGCCAGGTTCAACCCCTGGGTCAGGAAGATCCCCTAGAGAACATAAAATCAAACCCAGGACGGTGATATTGCTACCATACTGTTATGGGGTTACTCTCACTTCATAAAGATACTTTTTCTTTTACAAAATTATGGACACAAGTCCTAAAAGGCTTCCCCCTTTATTTGGTAATGTAGGTAAAGCTGGGTCACAGGTCTTATAGTAACGATGGGCTTCCCTCCTTATTTTTTATGTAAAACTATATGGCCTTACTACATAAGACTACTCAATGTAGTCTTAAATTTTTTCAGATCTTAATTTTTGATAAAACAAAACTAACAGATAGGAAGGTACATACTAGATTTTAAAAAAAATTAGCAGAAGACCAGACACTTACTGAACCTTACTGAGTATATACTAAGGACACTGTCAGATAAAACAACAAAATGATGCAAAGACACAATCCTTTCCTAAAAAGGTTCATAAACCAGAAGCAGGTATCTGAAATGAAGATGTGAGTAAGAAAAAGGAATCAAAAACACTTCTTCTTACTGAGACCTGGGAACAAACGGCTGCTGTGTGCATCAGGAAAGAGAAACACATTTTGGCCTAAATTCAGTTCATTCTGGTGAACAAAAAAATCATCATCATTGTTTAAAGTTGGACAGAGCTGGGTAATCCCAGGATGGAACCAAGAAAATAAAACAGCCGATTTCAAGCAAACAGCACACAGTGGGACCTATCTGTGTTTAGTTAGTAACCAGGGCCACACTTTAAAAAACCTTCTACTATGATGTCACCTTCAAGCCATATGAACAAACTGTCTCCATCCGTGTCACAGCGTTTTCCTAGCCAGTTTCTTCCCCTCCTCCCACCATTCATGTCTAGACTCTGGATATTTCTCATAGCCACTGGTTCTTCTCTCTTCTCGCTAGCCCAACTCAGAGCCTCATTACCCTTCTTTTTAAAAAGTAAAATAAAATAAAAGCATCATGTTTAGCTTCCCTGATCTGAGGTTTCTATTAGTTTCTCAATGCTACTGTAACCAATTAACACAACTTTGGTGGCTTAAAATTAGGGAAAACAGTGTGAAGGTTTCTCAAAGATATAAAAATGGTGGTTAAGAATCCACCTTCCAATGCAAGGGACGTGGTTTCAATCCTGGTTGGGGAACAGAGATCCCACATGCCTCAGAGCAACTCAGCCGGTGCACCACAACTAGAGAAAGCCTGAGCACCACGACAAAGAGCCTGCATGCCACAACGAAGACCCAGGACAGCCAAAGAAACATTTTTAATTAAAACTAGAACTACCACATGATACAGCAGTTCCACTTCTGGGTGTGTACCTGAAAGAAACAAAATCAGCACTGCATGTTCACTGTCACATTACTCACCATAGCCAAAATATACAGACAACATAAGTATCCATCAAAGGACGACTGGATAAAGAAAACACAGTAAATACTTACAGTGGAATATTGTTCAGTCATAAGAAGGAAATCCTGCCATTTGTGGCAACACAGATGAATCTGGAGGGCATTATGCTACAAAGAAGCCATGGAGACAAAAACATTTTTTGGTAGAATCCTTAGGGTTTTCTATGTGTGTATATGATCATATCATCTGCAAAGACAATCTAACTTCTTCCTTTCTGATGTGGATGCCTTTTATTTATTTTCTTGCCAGATAACTCTGGCTAGAATGCCCAGTACTATGTTGACTAGGAGTCAAGAGGGGGGACTCTTATCTCATTCCTGATTTAGAGAAAAAGCTTTCAATCTTTCACCAATGAGTATGATGTTAGCTGCAGGCTTACGACATACGGCCTTTATTCTGTTAAGGTATATTCCCTCTATGGCTTCCCTGGTGGCGCAGTAGTAAATAATCTGCCTGGAATGCAGGAGACATGGGAGATGCAGGTTCAATCCATGGCTCAGGAAGATGCCCTGGAGGAGGAAATGGCAACCCATTCCAGTATTCTTGCCTGGAAAATCCCATGGACAGAGGAGCCTGGCAGACTACAGTCTATGGGGTCGCAGACTCAGACACAACTTAGTGACTGAACAACATATTCTGTCTATAAACAACTTCTTGAAATTTTTTATTATGAAAGGATGTATTTTCTCAAATTCTTTTCATCTCTTTTAAGATTATCTGGTTTTTATTTTCCATTTTATTAATCTTATTTAATAGAATTAATTTATTACTAAACTATTGATTTTCCTATGTTGAACTATCCTTGAATTCTAGGGATAAACCCCCTTGATCATGCTGTATGATCCCTATAATGTGCTGTTAAATTCAGTTTGCAAGTATTCTGTCAAGAATTTTTGCACTTATATTGATCACACATATTCATCTGTAGTTTCCTTGTAATGTTTTTGACTTTTTAATCAAGACAATGCTGGCCTCGTAAAATGACTTTGGAAGTGTTCCCTCCTCCTCCATTTTTTGAAAGAGTTTGAGAAAGATTGGTGTTATTCTTTAAATGTTTGGTAGAATTCACCAAGGAAGCCATCTGGTTCCGAGCCTTTCTTTGTTGGGAGGTTTTGGTTACTGACTTAATCTCTTTACTCATTATTGGTCTATTCAGATTTTCGATTTCTGATTCAGTCTTGATATGGTGTATGTTTCTAAGAATTTATCAGTTTATCCTAAGGTTATTAAACTTGTTGGTGTATAACTGTTGACAGTAATCTCTTATGAAGCTTTCTATTTCTGTGGTATCAGCTGTAATTTCTCCTCTTTCATTTCCAATTTATTTCACTCCTCTGTTTTTATTTCTAGCTAAAGTTTTGTCAACATTGTCACCCTTTGGTGGTATCACCCTTTGGTGGTATCATGTTTTCTTGATTTTTCATGTCCCTTGAAGTTTGCATTGCACTCTTCCCATCTGAAGTAATATTCACCTTCTGCTGTCTTTATTACCTGGTTCAGGAGAGAAGTATCTTCCATCAGCCCTGCCAGTGATTCTGAGGCTTTCTGACTTCCTCTGATTACACCTCATCCACATTTCTTGCTCCCTCTTGTGGCAGAACCCTTAGGCTTATCTGCCTTCTCTTGATCAGCAGGGCAGCCGACAAAGTACTGGCTGTCTTCCTCCTGTTTTGCCAAAGGCGGCACTAAAGCTCAAGTTTGCGGTTTCTCCCTAGCCGGTAGATTTGGCTCAGCCATCTGTTTGTGCTCACCAGTCGTCAGCCAGATCCTGCTCTTGCCACTGCTGTCGGAAACACGCAGGGACCTGGCCACAGGGTCAAGGGCTATTTTTGGGTGAGGTATCCTGAGCACTTATGGCTCAGAGGGTAAAGAATCCGCCTGCAATGCAGGAGACCTGGGTTTGATCGCTGGGTTAGGAAGATCCCCTGGAGGAGGAAATGGCAACCCACTCCAGAATTCTTCCCAGGAGAATCCCATGAACATAAGAGCCTGGCAGGCTACAGCCCATGGGGTTGCAACCAGTCGGACACGACTGAGCGACTAAGCACAGCGCAGCATATGCTGAGCACTGCAGGAGAGGCATCCCTGCAGCCTGAGGACAAGCCTCTTGAGTGCGGTCAGCTGGACCCCTGTGCCTTCGATGCCCTCTGAGGGGGCTACCTGCCATCTCCACCTCTCCCTGCCTCCCAGTCATGCAGTCCACGTTTCAGGACTCTGGATGTGGGGAGAGAGAAATGAGCTTTTGTGGCAGCCTCCCGCATGGACTGGGAAGCCACGTGTCACCCACCAGCTCTCACTTGCCCCGAGAGAAAGTGCGGGATGAGATCTCTCTGGCCCTGAGCTGTGTCCTCTGGGGCGGGGTGGTGCAAGTCAAGGGAAGCTGCATCTCGCGCTCTCTCAGCGCATCCAAACTCACAGTTTCGGGCTCCAAAGGTGGGCTGAGACTTCTGGAAGCCCGGACTTCTCAAAGGCTCTCTGGTCTGTGGGTGACTGTTTTAGACAGGGTTTTCCAGGGGCTACTGCCAAGGCTGGGGAGGGGGGTGCGGGCTGCTCGCGCCAGTTCACGGGCTATTTCAGGGTCCAGCCAGAGCCCAAGTCTGTGTCCCTGTTAGTCGCCTTGTGGGGAAGCAGGACTCCTCTCAGGTCCCCCTGGCACAGGGCGCTGGAGGCCACAGCTCCCAGACGGTGCTTCTGTTCGTGGTTCAATGCCAAACTACTCTCGCTGAGGGCAAAACAAAGACGTCTTATTCTGCCACAAGGCTGATGTCACTATCCAAGGGTTTGTTGTTTTAATCTGCATTTCTTTGAGACCGTGCACTTTCTTTCTCCTGCATTTCTTCTTTGGGAATTTCTGGACCATGTTCTCTTTCCATTTTTCCTTGGAGGTGATGGCATTTTTGTTCCTTTTAAAATTCTTCGTGTTTTCAGGATACCAATCGTTCATAATAAATATGGCAAATATTGCTCCCAGCTTGTGCCTTTCAGTCATGTTTATAGTGCTTTTTGGCTTGTCTTTTTGTAGTCAGAGCACCATTTCCTGATTTTATTTAAACTTATGGCACATTTTAATCATCTGCCACCAGAAGGATCAATTTGGAAGAGATCAGTTTACAGGGAAAAGTGATTCAATATCAAAACAGAAGAAGAATTTTATTGTTCAAAGTGCAAAAAGGAACTTCTTGGTGGTCCAGTGGCTAAGACTCTGTGCTCCCAAGACAAAGGGGCCTGGGTTTGATCCCTGGTCTGAGAACTGGATCCCACATGCTGTAACTAAGAGTGTGAATGCCGCGAACAGAGATCCCACATGCTGCAGTGAAGATCAAAGATCCCATATGCTGCAACTGAGACCCAGCGCAGCCAAATAAATACATACAAATATTTTTCAAAAGTACAAAAAGATGAAAATTCTGTAAAAGCCCTTTATAAGAACAATGCAACAGTCAACATACATGACAGTATATGCTTCACAGCTATCCATCCTCTGCCCCATTTCAGCCCCTACAATCCTGTACTGATCTATGTGACAAGTCTGAGAGTCAGCATAATGTGGAAATACAAGAATCAGCAGGATCAAGTTCAAGAAGAACAAAGCCGTATGGCTTTGTAGAACCCAATGTGAAAAGACATGTCCAACAGGAATTAATACACGGTTTAACCATTCTTACAAAATTAATGGGAGTTTTTAAAGAATTCCTTTTGTTTAAGTGCAGAAATGATCTTCAGTAGTCCAAGTGAGAGACTGACAGATTTACAGGCACTTCAGACAAGATAACTCCAGTCATATAAAAGTTTACTTTTATTATAGGCACTATATGCAAACATTCAGTACTTTTTGCTACTTCTATAATCTTTTAGGTCGTCAGTTACAGTCCGAATAAGAAAATATAAACAAAAATTTATACATTTTATTAACAAAATCTACTTTGAATAATTCTATAACCTTTCTCATGCCATCAAACCCATTGTTTACGCCCGTCGATGATGCTTCTTTCTGTTCTTTCAATTATAAAGTCTCTGAAGACCCAAAGTGGGATGGATCTTCCATTGCGGCAGGAAATGTTGAATAAGTAACTCTACATAGTTTCTCTGGTAAGTGTTTGCTTTTTAATTTTGATTAGATGCCACACTTTAACACAAACACTGTAAGACACTATTTAACAGCTTACACGGTCACGGCTCACTAGCGCTTCGTTCCGGCCTGGACGCTGACCATGGTGAAATAGACGCCTTTCTGCGCCAGCAGCTGCTGGTGCGTGCCGCGCTCCCTGACCCTGCCGTTCTCAATCACCACGATCATGTCCGCGTTCTGGATGGTGGACAGGCGGTGAGCGATCACGATGCAGGTGCGGCCTTCTCGGGCTTTGTCCAGGGCTTCTTGGACAACCTGTTCAATGATCACACAAATTACCTCTGGTCAGGATAATCCTCCCCCTTGAATTCCTCCTTCATAACAAGCCTCACCGTTAATGTATCCAATGATAAGTGCTCCTTTAACAGTGTCAGTGGAATATAATACATATTTTACAAAGCAAGGGATCTGTTATATTGGAAGATACCGAATCCTAGTTTGGGTTAGTTCTTGGGTAGGGGCCATCTCCAAGTTGTGACTATAAATACAGCCCCTGTGATCATTTAAAAGCATTCAGTAGTGGGCTTATCCATGCAGCATCCTTCTGGTCTAGCAATACAGTTAAGTCAGGAAGCCTAGGCACGGGCCAAACACAGCTTCTTTGAATTTTGGTATTTTTAAAATTAAAAAATAATTCTCAGTACAACATTATAAAACAACTGTATTCCAATAAAAGATTTAAAGAAAAAATCTCAGAATGAGTTATCATTCAGATACCTGAATATTCAACTTTTTCTCAAACTAAAAACAATAGCTAGTATTTACCTTAAGGAACAGCCAGGTTTAAACATTTTTCTGTGCTTCCACTTTTTTATATAGTGGTTGAGGAGATGCTATCAGGAGAGATGAAACCATGCCTCCTGAATGCAGCTTCTTGGATCAATACAAAATGATCCAGGGCTAGTTTTTGGAGCAGACGTGCTATAAGACTAATCTGCCTCATTTCATCTTAGTTCTCTTGAATGACAGCTACAGAAAGTGTTTAAATTCCACTGAGAGTAACAAAATTTGTTATCAACCTGTATTTTCTTCTCTACTGTAGAAGACAGTAGCACAAATTTAAACCGTCTAAGGACAGCTGCTTCAAATGTGAACGAGTCCAATTTAAATTCTCACCTTTTCGCTTTCCGTGTCCAGAGCCGAGGTAGCTTCGTCCAGAAGCAAGATGTGTGGCTGTCTGACGAGGGCGCGGGCTATGGCGATGCGCTGTTTCTGGCCGCCAGAGAGCTGAGCCCCCTTGTCCCTGACTCTGGTGCTGTATTTCTGTAAACAGGGTTGTTATTATGAAAAGCAGAGCTGATAAAGCTGTGAGAAAGAGTCTGCTTGCAGAAAACAGGATAACCACTTCCATATACACGAAAACGTTGAGGTTCAGAAGCTAAGAATGGGTTGATGAGTTTAACAGCAAAAACATAGCTCTAAATGGCAGGATTAATTTCTCTTCTTGAAAACAGACACTTGTGTCTTAAAAATTATGTGTTAGTGTGGACAAATTAACCTGAGGAAGACTACTATTGCAATGTCAGGCTCTTCAAGCCTTCTGGTTTCATTATATTTGGGACAGAGAATGGTAAGAGGAAGGAAATTTGATTTTAACAGGCTATGCATAATATAATTGAAGCTTGTTTTATTTCTAACCAGTAGGTGATGCTCTCTGCATTATTTCAAAAAGTGAGGAAGGGAAGATTCTTAGAATGATAACCTTTTGCTGTCTGTTTTTATAAGACTATTTCCAAAGCTTCAACAATTTTAATGGATACTAAGAAATTCTATTTTGGTATCTAACTTGAAAAGCTGAAATTTCCTGATTTACTTTTGCTTTTAGAATTCTCCTAAAATTTTTCACATATTGTTTCCCACAGCAGATAATTAAGTATTAAATATGATGATAAGGACTGGAATTAATAGGGTAAATAAGTGAGAGGAGAAATGCAATGTATAACCTAGAAAACAACATTATCTTCTTCTATTTCTCAGACCCTTGCCAGGCTGAAATTTTGTAAACTGTGGGCCCTGATTCTGACATCCAGAGTTTGATTTTAAATCACGTCCTACCTCCTACTCTGCTGGTGAGAATGTAAGCTGCTGTAGCCATTATGGAAAACAGTACGAAAATTCCTCAGAAAACTAAAAATAGAATTAGCATGTGATCTAGCAATCCCACTCCTGGGCATACATCCAGACAAAACTCTAACTAAAAAGATACGTGCACCCCTATGTTCACAGTAGCACTATTCACAATAGCAAGACATGGACCCAATCTAAATATTCACTGGCAGATGAACAGTTAACAAAGATGTGGTACATACATACAATGGACTATCATTCAGCCATAAAAAAGAATGAAATACCACTTGCAGCAACGTGGATGCAACTAGAGATTATCATACTAAGTGAAGCAAGTCAGAAAGAGAAAGACAAATATCATATGGTATCACTTATATGTGCAACCTAAAACATGACACAAATGAACTTAGCCGTGAAGCAGAAACAGGCTTGCGGACACAGAGAACAGGCTTGCGGTAGCCAAGGGAGGGAGGTGGGGAGGATGGAGTGGGAGGCTGGGTGAAGCGGAAGTCACTACTATATACAGGATGGATACCCAATAAAGTCCTACTGTTTGACACAGAGAACTACATTTAGCATCCTATAAAAACCATAATGAAAAAGAATATTAAAAAAGAACATGTACATATACAGGTAACTGAATAACTGCTGTATGGCAGAACTTAACACAACATTGTAAATCAACTGTACTTCAATTAAAACAAACTCATGTTCTATGCAGGGCTGCCTGTTCTTGCTTGCTATTTCTAGCAACCCAAATTCTGTGGCACTCAACACAGAGCTCTCCACCTGCAGAGGCTGTGAGCGAGCTTGGGGGAGGTTTGGTCAGACGGTTGCAACAGGCCCACCCAGAGCTGCAGCCCCTGGGGAGCCGATGCACTGAAGTGAGTCCCACGCAGGTGACAGATCCCACTGAGGCAGGTAAACGCAGGACTGTAAACCCTGAGAGAAGGAAACGAGACCAGCCCCGCTGCAGGAGGAAGTAAATCCTAGCATGAACTGCAAAGGTGAAGAAGTAGGTCCTGGGACAGAAAGTAGGACGTAACGGGTTTTGCCTTTTCCTTCCACATGTAGATACTGAGGGAAAGAATTCTGATGTGTACAGGTGTGCTCTGTGGACAGGGCTCAGAAACACGGGTCCCTGTGGCAGACAAAGTGAGAGGCAGCAGATGCATTTCATAAGCTGGATGATAGTCCCTCTCAGTATTTGCCTTTGTTAACCCCTAGCCCACCGGTTCTCTAACTGTACCTGCATCAGTTATCACCTGGGGTATTAGAACAGAGACTCCTAGACCCTAGCTCCAAGTTTCTGGTTCAGCAGGTGTGGAGTAGGGCCTGAAAACCTGCATCTCTCACAAGATCCCAGGTGACACTGAGGTGCTGGCCCATGCCCAGACTAACTGACCTCATCAGTAGTGAAGGGGACTAAAGTTATGCATTGAATGTTCCAGCCTTGGGAAGGGCCAATTATCCACAGATGGGCTAGAAGGTTAAAGGAGGGGAGAGAGGGGACACTGCTTCTTCCTGGGGGGCTGTGATATGTGGAGACGGCAGTGATCCAGAGAAGAGCCTCAAGAAAAGGCCGTCTAGGGAGTGGGCTAGGGCCATAGGGCACTGTCATCTTTCCCCACGAGGAGAGGACCTTTTCTGCCGGATTGAAGTTGAGCTTTGTTTTCAGGGGGCAATTCCTTATAATAAAGAACATAACTTGTGATAATGGGGGGCATTAGATAAGACAGATCTAGTGTATATGTGTTGTCGTGTCTGAGTCTTGCGCCCCTGTTGACTGTAGCCCGCCAGGATCCTTTATCCATGGGATTTTTCCAGGCAAGAATACTGGAGTGGGTTGCCATTTCCTACTCCATACAGTCTGCTGCTGCTGCTAAGTCACTTCAGTCATGTCCGGCTCTGTGCGATCCCATAGACAGTCCACCAGGGTCCCCTGTCCCTGGGATTCTCCAGGCAAGAACACTGGACTGGGTTGCCATTTCCTTCTCCAGACAGTCTAGATGCACTTAAAATATAGGACCTCAGTGGCTTAAAAGAGGGTAAGAGGCTCCACTTCTCTAACTTCCTAGGAGGGATTCAGAGGGCATCAAAGGGACAACAGCCCAGGGCAGGCTTCAGTATCAGTCCTGCAAGTGGAGCGTGGGGCCCACGGAACGTGCAATGGTGAGAGACGACACCGTACCACGGACACCCCAATAACTCACCCTGCTCAGAGCCTTTTTTCTGAATGGGTCCAGCCTGGCCTGGCCTGACTCCACAGAGAGAGGCTCGAGGCTTGGGGGAGAGCTGCAAGGAGGCGGAGGGAGGAGGCTGGGAGAGAAATGACGGGGGAGGCTCACGCCTGCTTCTGTGGGCCCCATGCCCTGATGTGGACGGAAAGGCCCTCCAGATGTGTACTTTTTAGTCAGACTGCTCACAGGGAGTCAGGCAGGTGATTGGGTGAACATGACATAGATGGGGATGGGGAGTGTCAGGTAAACACGACATAGATGGGGATAGGGACTGTCAGGTAAAGATGACATGGATGGGGATGGGGAGTGTCAGGTAAACATGACAAGGATGGGGATGGGGAGTGTCATATAAACATGACATAGATGGGGATGAGGAGTGTCATATAAACATGACATAGATGGGGATGGGGAGTGTTGGGTAAACACGACATGGATGGGGGTGGGGAGTGTCATATAAACATGACACGGATGGGGATGGGGAGTGTCGGGTAAACATGACACGGATGGGGATGCGGAGTGTCGGGTAAACATGACACGGATGGGGATGCGGAGTGTCACATAAACATGACACGGATGGGGATGGGGAGTGTCAGGTAAACATGACACGGATGGGGATGCGGAGTGTCGGGTAAACATGACACGGATGGGGATGCGGAGTGTCGGGTAAACATGACACGGATGAGGATGCGGAGTGTCGGGTAAACATGACACAGATGGGGATGCGGAGTGTCATATAAACATGACACGGATGGGGATGCGGAGTGTTGGGTAAACATGACACGGATGGGGATGGGGAGTGTCATATAAACATGACACGGATGGGGATGCGGAGTGTCGGGTAAACATGACACGGATGGGGATGCGGAGTGTCGGGTAAACATGACACGGATGGGGATGGGGAGTGTCGGGTAAACATGACATGGATGGGGATGGGGAGTGTCAGGTAAA